AGATTTATTCCTTTATCCCATCAACTCAAGCAGGCTATCCCAGCATCCCTTCCTTATACAGAAACACTGACATGAACACTTCTCCCTGGATCAGAGCAGGTCTGAATGGAGACAAGACAGAAGAGGCAATCAGCATTGGGTAATTGATATCAGGAGACAGGTGTTGTTTCTACAGCCCCTGTCACACTGGAGACCCTCAAATCCATTGTTTTACACCTCCTGCCTCAGTTTCCCTCCAGTTCTTGTTGACTGCCTTGCCCACTTACAGAAGAAGTGGCTGAGCTCTCTTGCTTGGGGACTGTCAGGTAAGGGCTGATCTCAGAGTGGGAACCTGCAATGCAATGCTTTGTGCTCAGACTCTGAGCCTGCACTCTGAGTTTAGCTCTGGTCAGCAGCAGATGTCAAAAGCAGAGACAGGATGACAAAGAAAAATCCCCAGAAGTCCACTCCCTTCTATCTCTGAAATTAATTCTCTCCACTTTGCCATCAGCTCTTTGGGAAAAACAACAACAGCAGCAACAACAATCCACTCCAGTATTAAAATGTCCTTTTTTCCCTCGTGCTTTCCCTTCCTGCCTCAGTAACAACAATATCAGCTCCCCTTTCTAAAGCAAGAAGTCACTCAGTATATTTCAAGTGAGCGGGTCTGGCTTTCAGGAACCTGCTGTAAAGGGAAATTACACACCAAGGTGAAGCATTTCTTCTACAAATCATCTGGGGGCATCATGAACCCTCTGTGATTAAGATCAGTGCCATAATCATAAATACTCCTGCTTTATGACTAAGCTGGAGCTCTTCACTGGAGCAAACCTGGGCTTTCCCAAAGCTCCCAGAGTGGCTGATCCAGATCTGCTACAGACAGAAGTGATTCACCTGACAAGTGGCAGGTAAGAAAGTTATATCTCAGAGCTGATGGAGAGGGAACAGGCATTTTCTGTCCTTTCTCCATCTCTGTTTTGCCATTCCCAGCCCAGGGCTGGCTGATCCCATCCATCCACAAGGCAATTCAAAGGCTGCCCTTGGATGGCAGGTAATAACAGCATTTTCTGGACAATGTGGGTCGCAGCCAAAGCCTTTCTGCTGTCCTTCTGGATCAGTCTCACATCCATTCAGAACCCTGCACTAACCAGCAACTCACACTACAAGGAAATACAAGCAAAAACTCCAAGATCCTCTCAGAGAACACAAATAAGGTGGAGATGAAAGGCTGAGCCTGTGGGAGTCCAGAAAATTGTGAGGCAAACTAAGGAAATGATGGAGTCAGGAGGGCACAAGGGCACAGCCTTCCTTTGAGAGCACTCCAGACTGGCCCAGGGGTGAGGGTGCCAGCCCAAATGAGCCCACTTGCAGCCCAGGCCATCTGGACAGTGAGAAGCCTCTTCCCACAGGATGGCAAGAGGCTGTACAGGCAAACAGAGGAAAAAAAAGTCACCTGAGGGTGGGCATAGCAAGAGAAGGTGAAGGCCACAGTGATGGGGAGGGTGAAAGCTTGGTGTGCCAGCACTGATGGCTCCAGAGGGAAGGAGTTTCTGGCATGGGTCCATGTGACAGAGTAGCACCAATATTTGTTTTGGGAAGATGCCCGAGTTAAAGATGCCCAAGTTAATCTGCTCAGTAAACTCATGGAGAGACAACAAATGGGATGGTCCAACCACCCCATGCTTCCCATCAGCACCTCCTCATTATTTACTTAGCAGGTGTGGGAATCCAGGGCTTCCCTCTGGCTGCTCTGGCAGGTCTGGGACCCTGGCAGGGGTCCAGAACCCCCCTGGACAGAGCCCCCAGAGACACTGTCTGTGATCTCTGTCCATGGAAAAGAGTTTTCAATCTCATAGGATCAATTACAGGCTCTGCGTGTTTGATATAAGGAATAATTAAGTGTGGCACGGGTGCAAAAGTAAAATTTTAGGATTCTAGATGAGGGGTCCAAAGGGGACAAGATGGAGGAAATTGGGTGTGTCTTGTCCTTTTTCTCCTTCTTCATGCCCTCCATGTCTCACTGTGGTGTTGGCATTTTTCTGTTGGTTCAGGCTGGGGACACACTGTCCAACGTAGGTGACAGATATTGGCACGTTCTTGTAAATCCAGCCCAGGGAGTTTCTGGTATTTAATCTTTGTACCATCCCACTGAGGGCAGAGCCCCACACGCTGCCCTGCAGGACAGAGCTGGGCAGGGCAGCAGAACATGGTAGAGATAAACAGAATAAACAACCTTGGAACCAGCACAGACCAATTATGGCTTCTGCTTTGGCAGGGGGCTGAGAGACAGAGACTTTCTACAATCTCGGAATCATCAACACCACAGACAAGGAAATACTCATGCCTGGGTGGTGGCAAAGCTTTCCCTCTCCTCATCCTCCAGACCTCCAAATGCTGATAGAGGAAAGGACTGAAAGGAGAATGGTTATGAGAAGCCAGTCAAAATAGAGCCACTCAAGGTGAGGGTGCACTTTGAGCTCTGCTGAAGACGGGAACAGACCTGGGTCTTGTCAACCAACATTGCATCACCAGGAGCAGGTGAAGGTCTGGGCTGGCAATGAGGAGCCAGACTTGGCTTCTTCAAGGTACTGAGTGGTTTTTATTGTTCAGAGAATCAATTCAAGTGCACAGGACAGAAAATGATAGAATTACAGGTGACAGTAAAAAATAGGCACTGGAAGTTTTGGTGAGCAGTGAGTCAGTGAGAAGATGGCTTTCAAGAGAAATGTGGGAGATAGATATTCCTTCAAAGTGCCATTTTAGAAAAAAAAAATCAAAAAACCCAACCTTTCTGGCCATAGAGTGATTGTAATTCTGTTTGTCAGAGGGCACTTGTGATGCCATCCTTCCCCAGCCCTTGAGAGCCACAAGCACACAGAAGGAATGAGAAGGACCCTGAAGATGAAGGGCATTTCTTCTCACACTGCCAGGCACAAAGAGAGCTCTGAAAGTTTTTGGAGTTGCAAGGCCTTTATCCTTGCAGGTTTTGTCATTCCAATCCTTCCTTTGTGGAGCAGACAGCAAAACCAGCTCCTGAGCTTAGCAGATTATTCTAAATGTTGTATCCCAGGGGAATGAGATCCCATTTGTGCCCTGAGAAGGCACAAAAATGCTGCAGCCCCCATTAGCAATGACCTGGGTAACATCCATGATGCTGTCATTGCCTTGTAGATCAGTTCTCCAAGGTCAGGGCTGTGCCTCTTCCTGCTGCCATAAAAAATCTCACACAAGGGAGAGAGAAAGGGAGCACACAAAGCTTAGCAGGGAATTCTCTGCTAAAGGGGGTAGAAGAGAGGAAAAGCAAACTCTGCTGACAAAGCCCCCCAGAATGGAGCTGTCTCCTGAAGAGGACATCTTTCAGAAACAGAAGAGAGGTGATAAAGCTAAAAACAGGCAGAGTTTGATGAATTCCTGCCTCCTCCCCAGTTCTGCAAAGCAACACCTGGGAGAGGACAAAGAGTAGTGGCTGTGCCATCCCCTGTCCCTTCCCTAAGAAACTGGGATAATTCTCATAATCTCCTTTCTGGTGGATCAGGAGATCCACTGAGGTTTGTAGGAATTTCACTTTGCGCAGGGGACTGGCGGGGAGGAGAGGTGGGAGCTGGGAAGGTGAGTCCTGTGCTTGGGACATGAGGCACACCAGAGGAGAGCAGGGCTGGTGGTGGTGACACTGCACAGTGCAAAACTGAGACAAAGAGTCCCAGAAAGAAAATTAGGTCCCCACAGTGCCTGGAGTGGATGGGACAGAAATCTGTGGCCAGAAGGACTGACCAAAGTGTGACAAGGCTTTGGAATAACCCTGGGCTGCCTTTCCTCACCCCTGCACCACCAAGCTGAGGGCATCAAACCCTCCAGCTCCTCGGCACGTTTGCCAGTAGTTCTACAGAAAATCCTGAATCCTGGTAGATGAAGAACTCATGAGTATTTATGGATTTTCCCAATGCCAGAGCAGGTCAGGACGTCTGATGCAGGACATCTCAACCAGCACAAATGTGACAGCTCAACCAGCATTTACAGAAGGGGTGGGAGGGAATGGCAATGTCACAGCAGTATAAAGACACTACATGTGGGATCAGGAAGGAATTAAATGGCTTCCTATTTGTATTCTCCTTGCCTGCAAGGGCTCCTTGGTTACAACACCAGCCAGGCACATTTGCAGCTCTGCATTAAGACACAAGTTCCAGTTCAGCTCAGTCAGTGGCAATCTGGGGGGCAGTTGGATGCATCTGCCATTAGGCACCAAACCCACAAAGCCCCAGAGGTGTTCCAAACACATCTGGAATCTGCTGAACCCATGGCCAAAGCCCTAAATCCTCCCCAGGTCTCAGCAGCCTGGGGTCGGTAACCTCCTTCTCTCCTGGAGCTTTCCCATTCTTCCCAAACCTTTGGTGCCAGGAGTTTGTGATGAGTTTCCAAGGTCACACACTGTTGGATTATGCCCTTTTCTCACCCAGAGATGGGGCAGCTGAGAGGTGTTTTTATAAACTTTTATTCCATTTTCAGTCTTACGTGAAGGGTGAGACAATACAGATGTTATAATTCACGCCATCACAATCAGAAGCCAATTATTTCTTAATTATAATACATTATAAGTGTTTCTTGGTCTGTCAGCTTTAGCCACACCATGCTTACAATGCCTTAAAGCCAAATAATCTAAAATTGCCCCTCGTGGGTCCTGCTGCAGTGCATCTTTCACAGTTCTATTTCTCCAAAGGACCCAGTCTGATTTAAGGCCACCCTTTGAAACTTGTTTCTAGCTCCATTTCTTTCTCAGCAGTGTCTGTCCTACTCCAGCCTTCTGTCAGGCTTTGAGAATGTTTTACAAATTAATTTCCCACATTACACCGTGGGGTGCAGGAGGGAGGGAGCAGATCCTTGGGGGTCTGGCAGAGCAGAGGGGAGAGGAGATCCCTGCAGAGGGAGAGGGAAAGGGTGGGACAGGAGGTGGAGGAGGCTTTATGGACTGACAAGGTGACATCAGCCCTGAGCATCCCAGACTTTCCTGGGACATCCATGCCTACCTCAGGCATCTTGACTCGTCCCTCCTGGAAGGAGCAGGAGCTGGGGTCGTGGGTGCACACGTGGCGGTACTTGCACCAGTGGCAGCGGTAGGGGCTCTCCACGCACGACAGGCACCTGCAAAGGCACAGAGAGCAATCACTCGGCCACCCGGGTCCTGATGAGGCCTTCAGCATCCATAAAATAAAGATTTTATGTTTTCCAGATCCTGTGCTGCGTCAGTGTGTCACTCTGAACTCCATGCAGTGTTTGGGAGCTCTCCTCACAGATTGGGCAGACAGAACAATCCCTCTGGGCCTGAGAACCAAGGGCACCTCACCTCGAAAAGCACAAACAAAAATGAGTTGGCAGAAGCAAACTGGGGGAATGTGGCTTCATCACCTGAAGGTGTAATTGGACAATTAACCCCTGATATGCCAATAGGCCAAACTTATATCTGCCCCAAAAAACTCATCACTGGCGTTAATCTTGGGTCCATCTTGGGTGTAGCCTCTGCCAGGCTCTTGCACTGCATCTATCTGCTGAAGGCCTTTAATAAATCCCCTCTTTATTCTCTAACTCTGTCCGGCCTCTGTTCTAAGCAGCCAGTCCAACAGCCTTTCCCAGAGGGAAGCACAGCCTGGAAAATATTGCTTTTGCAGGAGGACACAGGCTTTGCTCTGACCCAACACCAGCAGGATGGTGCTGGATTTGCTCTGGCCTGAGCTGGTTGTCACTGGTATCTCAAATGTCTCAAAATTATTAAATCATTTAGATTGCATTTATGTCATTGCAACTAGAGGAATAATAAATATTTATTGTATTTAGGCTGCCCTGGGCACCAACAATCCAGTCTGGTTAATTCTCCCACATATGACACAGAGGCCAGAGACAAGCTGGGATGTACCAAAGCCAGCAAACCAAAGATGAAGCAGGGAATTTTCTCCCTCTGTGTCCCACAGGTTTGTTGGTGTGAATTCTGATCAGGGTGATGAGGTTCCTGACAACATATTAACTCATATTTTTTTAATGTCAGAAGAGAAGTAAAGACTACTGGAGAATACCTGGGAATATTTAGGGCATCACCTCCTCTGGGTGCAGCAAAGAGCCATTCCCTCCATCTTACAAGGGTTTGCTCTCCTGTGCCCCTGGGGCTGTGCAGTCAGAGGTGCAAACACCTCCCCTGGCTGTGTTACAGCACTCGCTGGGCCTGCATCACACTTCCCTTTAAATTTAATGTGATGTCTGCTCAGCAGCAACCAAACCCAGCTCTCTGCACAGTCCTGGTCATTCACACTCTGGAGACCTTCACGACAAACACCTGGGGGGGCTGGAGAATGTCCAGGGAAGGAAATGGAGCTGGGAAGGGTCTGGAGAGGCTGAGGGAGCTGGGAAGGGGCTGAGCCTGGAGCCAAGGAGGCTCAGGGGGACCTTGTGGCTCTGCACAAGTCCCTGCCAGGAGGGGACAGCCGGGGAGGTCAGGCTCTTGTCTCAGGTAACAAGTGCCAAAATGAGAGGAAACTGCCTCAAGCTGTGCCAGGGGAGGTTTAGATTGGATATTAGGATTTTTTTTCATGGAAAGGGTTGTAAAGCACTGCAACAGGCTGCCCAGGGCAGTGGTGGAGTCACCATCCCTGGAAGTGACATGGGAACAAGGTTTAATGGTGACCATGGTGGTGGTGCTGGTTGTCTTGGGCTTGGTGGTCTTAGAGGGCTTTTCCAACCTTAACAATTTTATGATTCTATGAAGCCTTTTCCATTCTTAACTTTAGATTGGGCTTTTAGAGGGCCCAACCTTAGAGGGCTTTTCCAACCTTAACAATTTTATGATTCTACAAAGGCTTTTCCAACCTTAACAACTTTAGGTTGGGCTTTTAGAGGGCCCAACCTTAGAGGGTTTTTCCAACCTTAACAATTTTAGAGCGCATTTTCAAACATAATAATTTTATGATTCTGTGCAGCTGCACTACCTGGAGGGTGCCTTGAGGAGACTTCAGGGAAGTAAATTCTGATCCTTGTACGCCACTGGGTTTTTAATGGGCAGGAGAGAAAAACTCCAGAGCTCCTGTGTGAGCCCAACAGGCTGACACACCCCCTCTCTCCTGTCTCTGGGAAATCATACTCAACCCCAATCCACTCTCAGCTCTGGTACAGCAACTTATTCTTCAAATTGGTAACAAGTGCTTGCTCTGATACATCGAATTAAAAATGGATAGCGTATTATAGTTTGTCAAGTAAGAAACCAAAACATGCCATAAATATTTAACAGCACCATCTCTGCTGCTCTTCCCCCTCCCTCAACACTTGCTTTCTGACACTGTTTGTCAAAGCAGCAGGAACATGGAAATAAGATTTGCCTTTCCTTGTGAATTGCTGAGCCGCAGTAATTATCTGCTATTGGCACTTCTGACGGCTCAGTGGTGGGGACAGAGCTCAGGGGTGGATCAGCCTGCTGCAAGGACATCTTTCTGCAGGGATTTGTGGGTCTGCTCCACTGGGACAGCTCCTGAGCAGCCCTGGGTGGCAGCTGAAGCCCAGGAAAATGGGGTGTGAGGCAGGGAAGGTGCTCACATCATGGGTAACATGGTCTTGAGGGAATCAGCTGGGTTCAGTGCCTATCCTGTAGGAAAAATAAACTTTATTTTTCCAGATTGGAGGGTTCAAGTCTATGCTAACCATCTAGGGCAGGCTGCTGGTGGGACTGGCAGCATGGATGAGGGTTGGGGATGCATATGAGGAGCCAAAAATCCACAAAAAAATGAACAATAGAAAGATAAAGGGGCAATGTGCTGAAAGCACAATTCAGTTTTGACTCAATTCTGTGGCAAATTGCTCCTAATTTGATGGTCTGCCTGCAGAAAAAGTGGTCCCCACACTCTGAGCTATCTCAGGAGGGACCCACCATTCTGGCCACCACACAAGTGACCCCAGCCCCTGGTCACCTCCACATTTAACATCTTCCTGAGGGACACATGAGAATCTGGCACCAAAGGAAATGAACATACGAGTTGTGGACGCTGCAGTTGTAGAAGACGAAGCTGGTGCTGGCAAAGGTCATTCCTGTTTCCTTGGACTTGAGCTGAAGCTGGACAATGTGATGGTCACCTGGGGACAAAATAGGCACATCAGGGTGTGACTGCTTTGTTAGCCCAGTTCAGCCCTGCTGGCCAGGCCACCAGCCTGAGCCTGGAGCTGTGCCACAGCACCTTGGCTGGGCTGTCCTCAGTAGATGTAGAAAGGGTTATAAAACCCTTCTAGAGCTCAGTTCTCCCACAGTACATCTTTGCCACTGGAGATTATTGTGCCTCGTAGCAGAGTCTGGACTGGAGGGTGACAGCAGGTCTAATTTCAAAAATGTGGTGACTGAATGTAGGAAAGCCAAGCTCAAAGAATATGAGTGCAGATGTCTGGAATTTGGAGGCCATTAAAATATAATTTTGTCCTTAAAGTTGCTCCCTACTGCTGATTCACTCAACATTCCCAGAAAAAAAGGGCACATGGACATTCCATGTTCACTCACCTCACTCACCCCAAGCTCCATTCCCCTCAGCCTGTGGCTGCAAAGAGCCCGTGTCAGTGTGAGATGTGAAATCCATTGCACTTCCAGGGGGATCCACCCATTTCTGTAGCTTTCCCTTTCCACCTCAGCTCCTCCACACCATTTCCCCATCCCTTTTCTGCCAAGCTGGGCAGTCAGCTGCTGCTTCTTCCCACAATTCAGAGAGGGCAATCAGTGGGTGCAGTGACCCAGGTTTAATTCAAGATTTACCTGGGTGGCCCTTTCCCTGCTATTTATAAAAGGGCACAGAGTGCTAGGACAAGGAGGAATGGTCTTAAACTGAAAGAGGGCAGATTTAGATGGGATATTAAAAAGAAATCCTTCCCTGTGAGGGTGGTGAGGCCCTGGCACAGGGTGCCCAGAGAAGCTGTGGCTGCCCCCGGATCCCTGGAAGTGTCCAAGGCCAGGCTGGATGAGACTTGGAGGCACCTGGGATAGTGGAAGGTGTCCCTGCCTATGGCAAGGGGTTGAAATGAGATCATCTTTCAGGCCCTTCCAACCCAAACCGGTCTATAATTGCACAATTTTCCTCCTCACCTGAATGATTCATTAATCAATGAGGCCAGAGAGAGCTTGACAAGGGGTGACAACGAGCACCTCGTGCTCACCCACCCATCTTGGGACACACACACCCCACACACTTCACTGAACACATCTTGCTGCCCCTCTGCTCTGCCACATTTAAGGACTTTGCCAGTGTCTTGCAGGTGTTTTAAACCAGGATGTGAGGATTGGATGGCCTCAGGTGGGATAGTCACACATCCTTTGGTTCAAATCCAGCCTCTGGCACTGCAGGGAGAACTTGGTTTTTTCAGAGGTGCAGAGCAGCAGCTCTGAAGCTGAGACAAGCTGCAGGTGCCCTGAAAGCAGATAAATCTCTCCCTCTTGTCCTGTCTCCACCTTCAACTGCTATTTTTGTTTGCTGGTTGATGATAGCCTGGCCTGAGACAGATGTTCCATACCAAGGAAAGATTTTCTGGTGCCTGTCTTTGTAAGCAAACATGACTGATAACTCAGAGGGACTTGAAAGTGGTGACAACCTCCTGAGAGCTTGTTTTGGGAACTGCAGCGGAGAGCAGAGCAGCTCTGTGCAGCTCAAGGAGAGCAGAGGTGATGGTGACAGTTCATGTCACCTCATTTTCTGGGGTCTGAGGATCCCCAGAGGCAAATTTTTACAGTAAATTTTCACAGGAAGCCAAGGACAAAAATCTGCAGCATCCTCTCTGTGTCTCACAGGGGTGATAGCAGGGTCAAGGTTTTTATAGTAAATCCCTGTAATGAGCCACAGGAGTTCTTGAAATTACCCAGAAAGTTTGTTAGAAAAGGGAAAGAAAAAGGTGTAGGAAGCACCCTTGAAGACAAGACATTTTTCTGTGCTGGACCACTTTGGGAGAAGGAGCCAGAAGCAAACCTGGAACAGCTGAAGGCAGTAAAGGCCAGGAATTGAGACAGGGAGCTGAGCACACAGACTTAAATCTGGGAGGAGCAGGGTGAAATTACAGACAGGATTGTCCAATCTGCAGGAATTTCTGCCTGTTACACGGGATTGGATGTGTTGAGAGGCTGTACCCTTGGTGTGAAACTCCAGCCAGGTCAAAAAGGAGAGGGAATATCCCACATCCACGTCTTGTCTCAGCTGGATGCGTGCAACTGCCACTCGGTGGCAGCCTGCAAACACCTGGTGTCACACAGAGGAGCTCCTCAGTGCAGGTGTTGGGGTTGCAGCTCAAGGCTTGCACCCCTGAAACACTCTCACATTCACACAGCTCGAGCCATGATGTGCTGCTGTGCAGATCCAGCATCTAAAATGCTCCCGGGGCTTTCCATGCCCTCTCCTCAGGCTTTCAGGAGCTAAATCCTGCTTTGTGAGGATGCAGGTTGATACCTCAGGTTTTAGCTTTTGTATTTTTCACATTCTGAGCTGCTTTAGTATGTAGTTCTGGGTTTCATATTAAGGGATGGTGAGCTCTGTGCACAGAGCAGGGAGACAAAACAATTCCTGCTCCAGCTGGGCACCAAGGACAAATGATCCAAACCTCAGCCCAGGAGCACAAACACCGCGGGCTGGAGAGAGAAAAACAAGCAGGGTGGGACTGATGGGCTGAAGCTGGAATTGGAAATGAACTCCAAGGTGCCAAAGGAGCAGAACTGATCCCAGGGAGAGCCCCGGGAGTGCTCGTGCATTTTGGGGCCATTTTGGTTCATCTTGGGTTCATTTTGGGGCCATTTTGGTTCATTTGGGTGCATTTTGGGACCATTTTGGGTCATCTTGGGTGCAGCCCTGGCTGGGCTCTGGTGCTGTCCCAGGTGGATCCATGAAGGAGATCCTTTTCATAAATCCCTAATTTATTCTTTAGCTCTACCCAGCCTCTGTTCCAGCTCAGCCTCCACAAGGCATCAAGGACAGACGCAGGGTGTGGGGTGAGGATGGGAGGGAGAGGCACAGGTGGAGGAGCTGTGGGATACTCACCATTCTCTGTGATGATCTGGGGCACCTCCTTGGCAGCTGGAGAGATGCACTGGATCTGGCTGCCCACCACCAACCCATCCATCTCCGAGAGGTCCTCGAAGGTGCAGTTGACTCCTGCTGACAGCTCGGGGACGTTGTAGGTCTCCAAGACCAGCTGCAGGCAAAGATGGAGGAGGGAGAGAAGGAGAGGCAGAGAAAGAGAGAAGAGAGAACACTCAGCCAAACAACAGAGCTGGGCCAGCAGGAGAATTACACTGGAGAGGTCGGACAAAGAGCCTCTTGCTAGAGAGAGCATCCTCCTTCAGCAGAAAGCAGCGACTCGGGAGAGGGACGAGTGAGGAGGGGAGGGCACGAGTTGCTGGTGCTGGCACAGGTGGCGGGTGGCTGGGCAGGGACACCTGGCAGTGGCCCAGTGCTGGCTAGGAGGTGCAGGGGAGGGAGTGCTCGCTGTCTCTCATGCAGGTGTCGGGTTAGGCAGGGAGTCTTTGGAGCCAGCCGTGGGTCCCGGGGCTGTGGTGGCCCCCAGGGCCCGCGGTTGCTGAGGAAGGTGACTGCTACTCACAAGAGGCACTCTGCAGACTCCAGAGAAACTGGAGCGCTCCAGTCTAACTCTCTACGGGCTGCTCTGCCAGCACCAGCAGCGGGGAGCACTCTGTCCCCAAGTTCCTGTGTGAGGAGAGTCTAGTTACAGCCTTCAGTCCACCACAAAAAACACCCTGTCTCTACAGGCACAGAAACCTCTCCTGCCCATCCCACCGAAGAGCCATGTGGCTCCTCGTGCTATCCTGGGGTTCCATATGGAAAAAAAAGTCATGAAGGAAGTTTTCCCATGTTTTTAGAGTTCACAACACCCTCTGGCATTGCTCATGGTCATGGGAAAACGAATCTCAGGGCTGGTTTGCACCATGTCCATGCTTTGGAAGAGCACAGTCATGCTGCCAGCTTCCCAAACAAAGGTCCTGTCCCACGGCTCTCCATCACTGAGGGTCCTGCTCAACTCACCAGGTCATGCCTGAACACAGAGGGGCACCCCAGGGGACCCCTAGCACCTGGTAATTAATTGGTGTGAATTCAGTGTTTTTGTGAGCCGACACTGGAGCCAAGCACTCGGCACAGGCTCAAACGCAGATGCTCTCCACACTTGCCTCCTCCCCGAGGCCCCCTCTGAGGTGACAGCCACTGAAAGGAGACACAGGTGCATGCTGAGGTGTTGTTTGTACCAGCACAAAGAGCAGGGGTCAGTCCAGGTGACAAAGCAGGATGGATGAGAAGGTGACACAGCACTCAGTGCTCCCACACACCGTGTTTTCCTCACTTAGGGAAAGGTTGGAGCTGTTTCTCCACACTGAGGAGCATCAGGGAGGAAGGCTGAGCAAACAGGCCTTAGCCCTGAATGCCATGAAGCCTGTGTGAGAGTAGGATCATTTTTGGGGCCATGGGAATTCCTGTGCAGTGGGAAAGGTGATTTTTTATTTTTTTTTGTCTCAGATGGGGAAAGGGGAAATGGTTTTGTTGTTTGGATGGATTTAGCACTGAGGCTAAATTAATTCTCCCTGCTAGCAGTGGAGAAGTGGAATCTGTCAAATCTGTTCTTCTTAACAAATCTCCCTCTGGGCATGGATGATGCAGGAGGAAGCTGTGCCATGCAGAAGATGACACTGGTGGCAGACCAGTGCTTGGCCACAAACTCCATGAGCCAGTGCACACCCCAAGCAGACCAGAAATCCTACATGCCCCACTCCTGGGACAGCATGGAAAGCATGGAGCCTTCCTCAGCAAGCAGCTCTTCTCAGAGCAGCAGCCCTGAACTGAAACAGACTCAGGTAAGATTTTCCAAGCCCTGTTAGAGCCCAAAATTTAAAAGCGTGGCTGACCACACAAACACCTGCTCTGCCTCCATGGGCAAGAACTCACTGTCACTGACACTTTGCTGGAACTCAAGATGCTGGCATTCTAGATGTGAGATTTGCCAAGGACACCATCAACCCCCTATTTGTTCCCCTCCTGGTTTGCCTCTGGTGATGGGATGAGCTGGGTCACCAGTTTAGCTGGGACTGGGATGAGACTTCCATCATAATGCCCATGCAGATTGTTGAGTAACAGATGATGGCAGCTTCTGATCCCAGCAGCTCTGAGCTGACTCACCCTGGGAGTAACCCAGAGGCAAAAGTCTTTTATTCTATTGTCATTTTCAGTCGCCCCGAGCCAGCCAGTCCCCCAGGATTTATTCCAGCATGAAAGAATTCAACAGCTACTGAGAGAATATGGAAAGGAAACCTTGAACTCCCGGAAGAACAAAGAACTTAAGATGTCTCAGATCAGTTTTTTTGAAGCCTGGGGAAAGTTAAGTCACAGCAAAGTTAAGAGGCTGAAACAAAGCAGCAATGATTGGACATGCAGGCTTTGAAAGGCTGATTTCATTATCCCTGGAGAAATCCAAACCTGTCACCTGGAAGGTGCCTGGCAGCTGAGCAATCCCATTTAGGCCTTTCAGGGTGTGGGGCTAATGACCAACTTGTCTAGAGATGGAGTTTTTAGGGCCTGGGTTGCCAACTAAATTGCAGCCCAAATTAGCATGGTCTGAAAGGCAGAGCACTGAGGGAAGTGTGTTTTTGTCTCCTTCTTGGAGCATGTTGGGACCTCACCACACCTGGTGCTGCTGCCATGACTCAGGAGAGAATCCACAACCTGGTCAGATCTTCAGCAGAGATTTCCTGCCTCAAGCCCTGGAAGGATCAGGATCATCTGCTGCTCTGCCAGCATTCTCTCTGTGGTTTCCTTGGCTGCTGACTGAGTAGCTCGAGGCCAGGAAGGTTAAACCTTGTGCTGAGGAAAGTCACAGGAGACAGCAGCAGCCCTGGAAGCCTTGGGTTCCTCTGCACAGCATCCTGCCTCTCTGCTCTGCATGCCTACTGCTGGGCAGGATGGACTTCCTGGGGGCTTAGAAGGAGACATTTCCATCCAAAATGATTGGAAGTTGGAGCTCACTGAAATAATTCATATCATCCTTCACTTGGCTTTCTTCTAGAATGCAATTTCTAACTGTGAAAATGTCCCTTGCCTAAAGCTATTAATCAATTCCTCTCCCAGGGCAGCAGGAGAGAGTTCCTTCAGACCTACCCTCACAGACAACAAGGAAGACTCTTCCTAGTCCACTCCAAGACTTCTAAACAGACAATAACTGTCACCCTGATTCTTATGATTTTCTAAAGTCTTCTAAGTTTACATTCTGTTAGAGAACTTTCTCACACAACTTTCTGTAAACAACCTATTGTTTTGCATTCCTTCATAGAGGTAGAAAAACTTGATGTACTAGTAGTTTGTCCAATGTCATTGGAGAGGTGGCACCTTCACCCTCCAATCCACTGTCACCTTTAAAAAAGTATAAATGCTAGAGTCAAAAAAAACCCTCTTTTTTTCACCTTGCAATAGCAGCAGCTCGCGTCGTACTTACACGTGTCCTATAACAACAAATAACCAATGCCAAAATGTCAGAGAATAACTAACACCAATGCCAAAATGTCAGAGAATAACCAATGCCAAAATGTCAGAGAGTAACCAACACCAAAATGTCAGAGAATAACCAATGCCAAAATGTCAGAGAATAACCAACGCCAAAATGTCAGAGAATAACTAACATCAATGCCAAAATGTCAGAGAATAACCAACACCAAAATGTCAGAGAATAACCAACACCAAAATGTCAGAGAATAATCAACACCAATGCCAAAATGTCAGAGAATAACCAACACCAGTGCCAAAATGTCAGAGAATAACCAATGCCAAAATGTCAGAGAATAACCAACACCAAAATGTCAGAGAATAACCAATGCCAAAATGTCAGAGAATAACCAACACCAATGCCAAAATGTCAGAGAATAACCAACACCAAAATGTCAGAGAATATCCAACATCAATGCCAAAATGTCAGAGAATAACCAATGCCAAAATGTCAGAGAATAACCAACACCAAAATGTCAGAGAATAATCAACACCAATGCCAAAATGTCAGAGAATAACCAACACCAAAATGTCAGAGAATAACCAACGCCAAACTGTCAGAGAATAACCAACACCAAAATGTCAGAGAATAACCAATGCCAAAATGTCAGAGAATAACCAA